CAAAAAACCCCCTTTGATCTTGTTTTCTCTTGTTTCTGCAAATAAGATCCAAACATGTAAGTTGCATCTACCTACAGAAGATTCTTGGTTTATAGCCATGGTTGCTATGCTCAAATTTAGTAAGTTTTCACAGAATTCTGCAGAACAAGTAAATATAATTATAGCTAGGAAAAAGGACAACACCTATAAACATATCACGAAGCCTGGGGAAGGGTTTGTATGCATAAAACATTGCTTGCTTTTAAAAAATTATTTCCATTGATCCACTAAAATATATTGTTTCTCCCTGCCAACCTCTCCTCAAAGCATATATTCATGTATTTCAAAGCCAGAACAGCCTGTCAGGTCTGATCATCACTGCTGCACTTCCCAGAAAATGTTACCTGGTTATGCTTACAGTAAGACTATGCCCTTTTTGAGTTTCCAGTGGCTTACATAAAGAAGAAAACTTACAAAAATACATGTTCCCTGACTTTAGCTGAGCTGGTAACTTTGCCTTTGGCACTGCAGCTGCTGCATTTGATGGCTTTTCTCTGGTTCTCTGTACAAGGGATAGCTGAAAATTCCTCACCGTTTTACAGTGAGTCTTGAGCACAGAACTAAAACTCCTGGATTCAGGTAATGAATGGTGAGCTTTCAAGAGGGTAGAAATACACCTTTCTTACTTCTGATGGTCTGAAAGAAAACTTGAACACTCAAGTACCAGAAAAGAAAACAAACAAACAAACAAAAACAAAACAAAAAAAACCCAACAAAAACCAAAACAACAAACAATCTTATTAAATTCCACCATTTCTAGACCAGTTTCACATCTGGAGGCCTTGAGTAATGATTTCAAAGTGTCCATCCTCTGCAGTCTTCAGCATTTGACAGACCCTCCCTGCAGAACACCTCAGCACGCTCCTTATAAATGGAGCAGGGCAGAGCAGGAATTCTGAGGAGGGTGGCACTACATGGCAGAACATGGCAGCTGTCATTCTTCAGCTCTGTTTCTCAGAGACACCCCAGATTTCTCCCTAAAAGCCTGCTTCCCTCGCTGACAGCGCTCCGCAGCTCCTGCCTGCAGGAATATACCAGGGATTTTGGCAGCAGCGCTGCGAAATCTTGAAGCGCTGTTTCGCGGGGAGCGTTTCCCTCCCGGCACGGAGGGAAGCGCACGAGGCACAGGCGAAGCAAGCTGTCCTTCCTGGCCGCAGCCCCGCCAGGCCCACACGGCCGTGCCCACGCAGCGCACACCGCCATTCCCCGGCCCCACTCGAACACAGCCCCGGGCAAGGAAAGGAGAAAGGGCCCTCATAATTGCCATTTATCAATATTCATAAAGGACCTGCCTTAACCCCTCTTGTACACACTCAGGGGAAAAAAAATAAAAAAAATAGAAACAAGAAATGAAACGCAACCAAAATAAAAATAAAATGAAATAATCATCTCCCTGCTCATTACCGCAGGGGATTTCCTCTCAATGTCACCACTGCCCTGCGCAGTAATTGGCATTATCTGTTATCTCTGAAGCCATAATAAGGTTTGCCACGGGGCATTTTCTGTAATCATATTTTTATTTGTCAGCTCGCGAGCCGCAGACGGCGGAGCCGAGCCGGGCCAGGCCGCGGGCGCGCGGCGGGGCAGGGGCCGCGCGGCGCCAATGGCGGCTCGCGCCGGTGATGTCACGGCCAGCCAATGAGGCGGCCGCCAGCCCGCCCCGCCCGGCGCTGCAGCATTCCCCACAGACACAGGGAACCGGCTCTTCCCCAGGAAAGCGAGCGCCTGGCACCCGGCTCCGGAGGCGCTCACACGGAGTCCCGCAGAGAACACAGCCGGGCACTCCAGCAGCAGAGAGGGGCGGAGTGCCCCGCATTTAAAAGGGGCTGTTGGTTCGGGGCACCCAGCGGAGGTACCCGAAAGGCCCAGAATGCAGGAGAGCAGACACCCAGTACGAGGTGAATGGCAGCTTGGGCAAAACCCATCGGTTATGTCCAAAGAAAACCTCCCAGGCTGGGATGACCTCACATGGATGTCCGGGGAAGCTCAGTTCCCGGTGCCATTCCCTGCTCGGCGCGGCCGCTCCAGGCACTGCAGCACGGTGCGGAGCGCTGGGAGCGCAGGGAAGGGCTGGGAGGAGAAGCAGGAATGCCGCATCACTGAGCCAAGTGCGTGCCAGCTCGGGGAAGGCAGAGGGGTAGCACAGATCCCATGTGATGCCCCTGCGTGGTGCCACTCGTGCCCGTGTGTCCCTGGCGTGGCACGGTGCCATGTCCACACAAAAGTCCTCAGAGGACCCGACAGTGCCTTACACATAAGCGTTCCCCCAGGGCCGACCTGCATCACAAAACCCCGTAAGTGACTGCACCACACAGTGAAGTACACCAAATATTCCCCCGCTGCTTCCAGTAAATAAAGTAAGAACAGGAAGCACGTAACATTTTAAAAATAAAACGCAGACACAAGCTCCACACCTATTCTGCTTCCTTTTCTCAGCTGCTTGTTTGAAAATACCTCTCAGACAAAGGTGATCTCTCCTCATGGTAGCAGCAGGAGCTTTTTACTGATGGGAGGGGGATTGGGGAATCCTTTCTGAATCTTTGGTTCAGGAATGCTGGTGTATCAATGCATTTTGAGCAGTGAATGCTGAATGTGGTTACCTGCTGCTGTTAAAATAAGTCACAGGTATATATAAGGTATATAAGGTATATAAGCCCAGTGTTTTGGGATGTACAGGAAGAATATGGGACTATTATATGGGTCTGGGGACACCATGCTATCAATCTATTCTGCCAGTGGGCTGGAGGCACCCACATTTAGTCATTAAGCAAAGCAGAAGCCTTCATTTTTCACTGTGGTCATAACTGGATAACCTGGCTGATGAGATGATTTGTCATTTCACTGCCCCACGACAGGACAAGGTCAGGCTTCATTGCTTAGGAAAGCACATTAAGTTTTACACTCACATATATATTTATGCATGCTCTGATTTTCTGATAACTGTCCAGAATACAGCACAGAACACAGACCACACGAGTCTCAGAGCAACCTGGAGGCAGAGCTTATGATTTACTGCTAACTTAGCCAGCACTAGATGCTCTTCAGGTGGGAGTTAGCAAGGAATGGGATTTACTGTCCAAGGAGACTACTGCCCACAGCCCAGTATGTTTAACAGAGGAAAATGGATTCCTCAAGAGAGACATGCACCTGCCTAGAAAATACCACGTAGTGTTAAACCTGCAGAGGTGCTTGTCTGTCTGTCTGACAGCCTCACCATGATCCTAACTTAGTTTATTAAAGTCTCCCAAATCCAGAGGGATCCATAGCAAGTCCAAAGGACCAGTATGTCTGTGTATACATGCATGCTTTAGTATCAGAATCTTTAGTATCTAATCTTTAGTATTAGTATTAGATTAGTATTAGAATCTTCCAATGGAGATTCTGATTCCTCTGGAATATTCATTTGGAAGCGTAAATAATTTGTCTTCAGCCACACTTAAACACTTTTGAGTGTTGTTGGATTGGATCCCTTAATATTAAGCCAAGTAGGGAACAGAATGTGTATGTGCATGCAATCCACCAGTGGTTACACTGCTCAGTGTATGTGAAAAATAACAGGTCTACAACCTGCCAAGGATCATGCTGGTTCTAAGGAGGTCATGATCACTCAGTGTAGTTGAATAGCAGGGAGGAAAAACTGTGGAATTCACAGAATAAAACTGGTCAGAGGTCACTGCCAACAGAGAAAACTTAGATCCTCTAGTTACGGCATGCAACCTGCTCTTGGCTTCTCTGGGAATTTCTCTGACTATTATAACCCTTCCTGTGTCAGGTAGGCATTGTCCTCAGGACCTTTTCACCCAGATCCACCACCTTTGAACTGCCTCTTCTGCTAAGAGTATGCTGTTATACTCTTCTTATACAGTATACTCTTCTTAATATATCCTCAAGAAAGGCTCTTCTTTCCCTTTCCATTTATTAGAAAAATGTTCTCCTACAGATCACTATTTCCTGCTGAAATGACTCAGAGATGTAGGGGGAGGGGGCTAGAAGAGCAAGTTAAATATTTAAACATTCATTTTTGCTGTGGCCATCTGGTTTGCGAGTTTTCAGCACAGAACTGGGGGTACAGAAAATCCCTGCATGGCTACTGAGAAGTAACCACACAGTGATTATGCAAATCCAGCTACTGCGGTATCTCTGAGTGGCCCTTGGCCTCCTGGAGTGGGGGATCTGTGGCTGGCTGTGGCTTTGGAGAAGCAGCCATGCAGACATAATGCAAATGCTCTCCCCAGCCAATCCAAATGCAAGGAGCTGCATTTGTGAGAAGTGAGCAGGCAGTTATGGGTCAGTAGCTGTACAGAAACTCTTGTGCTCAGACTGACGGCAACAACTTGATTTCAGTACAATTTAAATTATCTCAACTTGCTGAAGATGAAAGAGAAACTGGTCCAATATAAAACGGTACCTGAAAGCACAGGTTAAAGCACACTCCATGGTTAAATAATGTGATGGAGTCAGTAAGAAAATTCTTCCCTACTGGAGAGGAAATTAAAGGCAACAGTGACTCAAATGCCCAGAGGGGACTCAGTAAAGGTTGCCAAAAGCCAGCAGGTTTCCAAAAACTGAAGGGAACCATAAAATGACTTCGCTGTATTTGCAGTTGTCCCAGGTTTCTTCAGGGATTCATTTAGACACAGTGTATGGAGTTCTTACTTATTAGTAAGTGCCACAAAAATTATGGAAATGAAATTCTTTTTCCTCGGTGGTTTTGTTTTTCCTGTTTAAAGCCTTCCCTGCAAATTAATTCTTCTCCCATGAAAAATGACAGTCTCTTCAAAAATGAGAAGTCTGTCTATGACTGGTACACTGTCTCACACATGGACAAGAATTCAAAAATACATCAGCACTTTACCCAATGCTTTTAGAGCTTTACAACATCAGTTACTTAAAATTCAAAGTATCAAGGTAAGATCCCTTTATTGTAGCAGGGAACTCCCCTTGGAAATGGCTGTACTCACCATATTGAATGACTATGGCAGAAGTCTAAAGCAGAGATGATTTGTCGGAAAAACTTCCTGGCTTCTTTTGGTGTCAATCTTCCCTTTTTTACGAGATAGTCGAAGAGCTCCCCACCTGACACATGTTCTAGCACCAAATACCTAGAAAAACAGAAAGCAAGGATTTTTTAAGTATGTGATCACACCAACCCCCTCACATTCACACAGCTATAGACAAACATTTCTGTTTATACGTAGTCAAGGGGAACACTTCCAGAAATAACAGTGGAAGAGAATTGGAATTTTAAAATCAGAAGCGATTAATATGTTTAACAGTGGTTTTGGAAACTTCAGACCTGCCATTGTTGGATTCAGTGTCCAATGGACACTGAATTCAGTGAATTCAGTGAATTCACTGAATTCAGTGTCAATGTCAAGACCTCATGAGGAAGCTAAAAATTACTCCAAAGACCAGGACGGTAAGAAGGGAATAATCAAGTATGAGTTTCCACAGCAGGTCTCAAAGCTGCAGTGGAGTAAGACTCTGTACCAAGAAGCCTCAGGTCCTTTAACCAAGCTGACAATTCTTTTATAAACAGCTGTGGCAAAGCTGCAGTCAGGCAGAACCAGACAGATATCAACAAACCAGAATTAATTAAGAAAAGGTGAACAATGTACATTATTAAAAAAACCCCACCAAAACCAAAAACCAAATCTATGTGTGTGTGCAGCCTATATAAAAGCTTAGCTTCTGCTGCTGAACAGCAGTGATTGGCTGGAGCAGCTGCCTGACCTTGGAACTCACAGGTGAAAAATGTGGCACTGAGTGAATACATGTGGCACAAAGGGGGCCTAGGAGCAGGAGAGGAAACTCCTGACCTCACACAGCACTCCTGGCAGTCATGGAGTGAAGAGTGAAACCTTCTGGAAGGAAAGGACTTGCAATGGATGGACCACCTTGCTGTTTTAAATAGGGCTAACCAAAGATAGCCAAGCAAAGAAAAACTGTATAAATCTCTGGAAATGCTGCCTAATAGTGGGAGTGATATTTTTCCCAGGGAAGTGGCAGGAACCCTATCAACAGAATCCTTTAAAAACAAACAAGTTTAAAGTATTTCTCAGTCCCTGCCTCCCAACAGTGCAGCAGACCATACTGAACTGTATGTGCAGCATGATCCCTCAGGCCTCTGCTTTACAGCAGAACACTTTTACTACCAGAATTAATCCAACTCCTCAAGTTTGAGTGGACAGTGAAGAATAATTCATCCAGGATACTGTCTTTTCTGCACCTCAAGCAGCATAATCTCCAAGGAAATTTCCGAATTTGAAATGCAAAGTGGGAAAGATTAATATAAATTTGGGGTCTTAATTAGTTCTGTTTTCAATGTTTCCAAAAAGCTAGGACAATAGAAGGAATAGAAGCAGTTGTGAGGAAAGTAAAGCTTGCTCAATGATAATGGCATTAGCCTTGAAGTTGCAAAAGTGGGACCTGAGCTCCTGGTCCATCATCATCTCCTGTGTAACTTCCATGTTTCAGCTCCCAGCTAGCAGAAGCAGAAAGCACTTCACTGCCTTACAGAAAGACAGATATTGGTATTGTCTTGCCAGCTAAATAAGTACTAAAAGGACAGAAAAAAATGGACAAAACAATAAAATTATGAACTTGAGGGAATTAAAATTGCACTTTTGCATTTTTTGATCAAAGTCAAAACAGTTACAAGAAACATAGTAATACTGGCTTTTTTAAATTAAAGTAAGTTAAAAAGAGAAAAAATCTTAACTTGAAAATCCCATTTGGAATATGTCGGTTATCTCCTTTCCAAACAGATGGGTAGTTGCCCAACTGTCTGTTGGGTACACCATGGTAATCTGGGGACTAGTGTTTATAGACATGACATTTTTTGAGCAAGTAATTCAAACACAGCAGAAAGCTGATATGCAGCAGCCACAGGCACTGGGGTGTCCGCACGGTCAAGTCCCAATCCTTGGTTCCTAAGCCTTGGCTAACAGACTGTCTGGTAAGAAGGTTTGCTGCAGAATTCATTCTCCCTCTCATATTAGAGACAGATATGGCTAACTGTCCAATATGGCAGACCCAATTCTGGCATGGAATCAAACCTAAAATTCTTCTTGACAGCTTGCTGTCTCACTGTGCCCAGAAGAAGCTGGATACAGCAGTGCATCTTGCCCCCAAAATTCATATTGCTAGCTGCTTTCTTTTTCTGGGAGGTATCTTACAAAGATGATTGCAGTTACAGATACAGAACACCCTCCACACTGGCTTCAAACAAACAGTTTTTGAAAAATACAGACCCAGCATTTCTGTCACCCACAGCAGGAACTGTGAAGCAATTTATTTTCATCAACTTCATCTTATTAAAAACACTCAACAAAAATGCACTGACACGTTGTATGAAAAATAAAACAAATTGAAAGACAGGGAACATTTACAAGGTTATTCATTTTTTGCTTGCCACCTAGAAGCACTAGATATAATAATGGAAATGAACAGGGGAGAGCATTTGAAAAAGATTTGTGCCTATGACAAGTCAAGGGACACGGAGAAGCACAAGAGACGATGTATTCTGATCTGACAAAGCCCCCAACGTGACATGAGTGAGAAGGACGACAAACACATTCCTCAGTGGCTGAGTGCAAGAAAGAAATGCTGCAGGGATCATTCCACAAGCACTGCGTGGCTAAGCTGCAGCTAGGATTTGTGAGCTCAGGTTGTCATCTGCCAGCCCTATTCCCTCCAGTACCTTGTGGGTTTTTTTTAGGAGAGCCCCCAACTAGGAGATTTTCTGTTAAACAAGGGCATAATTCATCGCCTGCCCCTATCTCTGTGCAAGCCAACATTCTGCTGGCACGTGACATGGCACAGTAGTAGTACACTTGTTCTTTCCAAACAGGCTGACAAGAGGGGTTTAAACATTTCCAAGTGTTGCACTGGTTCTAAGCACCACTGGACAGCTACACAAACCCCACTAAGTGCTGCATATCTGTATCTACCCATGTGTGTGTGAGCGTGCGTACGACTCCACAGAAGAAGAGAATAAACACTCTGAAAAGCCAAACAGCAAAAGCAAAGGAAAGAAAGAACATTATTCCCTGGGCTGGAAAATAAGGCATACAGACACATCTTTCCTGAATCCATGGCACAGAAAAGAATGCAAATCTTCTGTGTTCACATCAGCATCTAAAATCCTTTACTTTGGCAAAGTGCTACAGGATTGGAGGTATGCTAATGCCAGCTCTTGGAGGATCTAGGAGAAGGTAAATAACACATAGCCCATAGGGGAGAAAAACACTAAGAAGCATTTTCATGAGTCTCCCTTCCCTTTTATCTTTCCCAGATATGACAGGTTTTCACTTCATTATAGTACTACTTTTCCAATTTATTCTAAGCAAGCAAGCAAGTTGTGAAAATCCCAGAACAGCAACCAGAACTTCTCTCCTATTACATTTAGAGATGAAAAGCAACTTATTGGTGAATGAAGATTTGGGGTTTTTTTTTATCGTGTCTGTGTAAGATTGACAGCATCAGTCTTTCTTCCCATTGTAAAAACATAAGAAAACCTGTTTGGCAATAGCCATTGCAAGGAGGTTCAGGGAAAGGAGACACCTTTTGGCAGGCAGTGTGCACACTACATGCTGTGATGGTACAGACAGGACCTCTGTTAGGACAAAAGACTCTGCAAGAGCACCTAGTTTTCACATGTTGGGTGCTCTGGACAAACCACAACTCTTCCAATCCTTGCATTTCACAGAAAGAAACAAGTTTTGACAAGCATTAACCTCCTGTTCTTTACTGATAGGGAACTGTGAAGCCAAGTGACTTGTCCAGGGTTACAGTCACCCAGTATCAGAGCTGGGATTAGCACCTGTGGTCCCTTGTGCCTTCTACTCCTTGCTGTCTCCACCATCAATTTCTCCTTTGCCTGCTAGGACACTGAAAAAGCCAGAAAACAGCAGGCCTCTGCAACTCAATATGAAGGCAAGCGTATGTTAAAAAAAAAAATCATCTCAATTACTTTTTCCTCACTGGATATATTCTCTAGGAGATGGCAAATGTTCTCACAAGCTGCAGCTCACTTTCATACACACCAAGGTCCGCATCTTGCATTATTTTCTCACGTCCCTGCTACAAGCCAAGACATGAAATTAAGATTCTCTGGTTGAGTTTCAGTGCTTGAAGGAGACAAGACTTTGCTCTTTAAAAGCAAAGATAAATATGAGAATAATTGTGTTGATTGGAGAGGAGCAGAGAGATTGCATCCAGCAGCATTCTATCTATTCCCTTTGCCATTTTTCCATCTGTATCCCATCATCACCACCTTCTCAATAAAAGATTCTGAGTTCCTAACCTCAAATGACCCATTACATATCATCAGAGATGCAAGCTTAATTCTAAGGCTTTTTTCTTTCTTTCTTTTTGGTTCATTTTATTTATTCTTTCAGGAACCAAAATAGTACATAATCAGTTTTCATCAGCCCCTATCTGAAGGCTGATTTTTGCTGAGATGCTTGACAGCAGCTTGGACTTTCCATTCCCAACAGTTGCTCTGTGTGTGTGGGATTGTAAACTGGTATTGTCCCATTCTTGTCCAGTGCCAGCACAGCAAGGACTTCTCCATGATAAGATAGATTACTGTTGCACTACACTCCTATCACTTAAAACAGCAAAAAAAGACACTTCTCATGACACTTCTCCTTTCCATCTGGTGGACTATGCCACAATTTCTTAAGAGCTGCCTTTGCCCATGCCCTAGGGAGCTTTGAGAAATAATTCAGCGAGCCCTCAACTGAGGCAAGGCAGCTACATGCTACCTCCAAATCAGGACTGTAACTAAAGAAACAGGTTGGCTCTGAGCAATGCCAGGAAAAATGCTGTTAAAGAAATACTAACTGGCACAGAGAACACCAGAACCATGCACTACCAGAAACTTCTGGCAAAATAACAACAAAAAAACCCAAATGCAAACAAACACATCAGTTATGATCTGTAAAGAACAAAAAGCTGTCTTTTAGCCAGTAGCAAAAATGGTGTGAAATGCTAAAATTCTTGCCAGATGGGATTGCCTGCAGCAGCCCATTAGTGGGCATGCAGCTCTTTTTTTCTCAGGACAATTTACAAGATACTAACAGCTACACCAATTATG